TAATGACACAGCAATCTAGTTGTGGTGGTTGATATTTTAATGTCCAACTGACTCACCAACTCACTGGGCTCCCTGGCAACTGCTACTACTACTACTTATAATCAACCACGTCTGAAAAACGTCGTCTGATCTCGTGAGTTTTTCCCCTTTCACCAATTACATCATATAGCCAATCCGCTTTTCTCTTTTTTTTTTATACCTCCATAGTGTTACCTGAAACAACCTTCCGCTTTGCGCTTCTTAAAGATGGACTCACAGTTTCTGTAGGTTCTTCCTGTTGACTTAAATCATTTAATAATACTGCATGTCCTTGGCTGCGGGTAACTCGTTCCCCAGTTTTTCTCGGTGTCGATTTCATTTTTACTTTCTGAAGCTTGTTTTTCGCATATATAGTCGGTGTTACACATTCAACTTTTTTAAATACACCGGTTTTCTCTAATCTGTCCCATTCTTTATCTATCTGTTCAACTGAAGCAAACAGCACATTCCTTTTCTTTTTGAATACCGTCTGAGCGTTTTGTTTTGGCTGTAATTTTGCCTCCATCTTGGTACACGTTCCCAAACCTGGAGAAAAAACAGTAGGAAATGTTTCCTTAAGTTTCCTTATTGATTTTTGGGCTTCGCAGTTTAAATTTTCAACCTTGTAACAGAAAGAATTTATCGGTAGATCCCATAATTGAAGTTCTGTTATCCAATTCGTACCAAGTACGTTCGTGGTATTTTTTATGACAAATAGTTTAGCTTTTCGCGTTTTTTTTATTTAACGTGACATTTGTAACAAATTCTCCAATAAATTGTATTTTTTCTCCCGTCACTGACCTCGCGATTTTATTTGTTTTCACTAAAGTTGGTTTCCCCAACTTCTTCCACGTATACAAATTTATGATAGATAAGTCGGAACCAGTGTCGAGTTGCATTTTTATTTTTTTATTACTTATTTCAACGGTAACAAATTTTCTGGTTATTCCGTCGTTCATTTCGTCGGACTTTAATTTTCTTATTTTATTGTCTTTATTTTTTGACCTGCAGTGCGAGCTTTTATGACCCACTCTTTTACAGTTGAAACATTTTTTATTCCTAAAATTGCAATATCTGTTCCAGTGAAGTTCACCGCAAGCAAAACATGGCTTCGGGAGTTTTTGTTTATTTTTTCTGGTATTTCGCTTTTTGTTTGATAATCCACAATTTTAGAATTCTTTTTGGTAGACTGACTTTCTTTTTTGTAGCGTATTTTCCTTACATGCGAAACGCCAGACTGTTCTATCTTTTTCGAATCTTTCTTTACGCTAACATATCTTGTGCAGTCTTCTGCCAACTTCTGTATCGAAATTCTTGGTTCGTTTTCCAATTTTGAAAGTACCAATTTCCTCAATTCTGCGTCTCTTTACGATACCAGCCCTTGAACAAACACTAAGCACTTAAAGTTGTCAGCGCTTAACTCTGCTAGCTTGAATTCGTCACAATGCTTATTCACATTGGCTGCGTACGTTATATAGTCTTGTTCTTTATCTTTCCTCAGATTCAAACATTTCCACCTCTTGTGAAACAAAGATGTCTTTTTACTAAATAATTCACTTAATATATTTACCGCCTCAGTAAAATTCAACTCGCTAGTTTTTTTCGGTAAAATGTAGTTTACCAATTTGTTATGCTCAGCAGTTCCTAACTTGCTTAAAAGAAGCCTAAACTTCTTTCCTTCAGACCACGAGTGGCAGTCCTCGTTATACACGTCCGTATATTTTTTATAATACTCCTCAAAAGTTATCTCTTCATCTGGACTGTACGTGAATATTTCAATTGAATTCCATATTGTATTCCCTGGGAAAGAATCATTTTGTAAATTTTTCTCTCTCCTCTTCTCCGTTATTTCCAGAATTTTGTTTTGAAACTCCTTATGCATTTTTTCCATTTCTCGTTGAAAATGCATCTGTCTATTAAAAGTTTCCTCCTGTAGTTGCATCTGGAATGTTTTCTGTTGCTCTAATATTGTCATTTGTTGTTCCGTCTGGAACTTAAAAAATTCCTGGAATATATTTTTGCATTCCTCCATCTTCGCAAAAAGTTTACACAATGCTTAAATATTGTAGAGGGGGGTCCAAAACGAATTTGCAATTCGTGACCTATTTGAGCAAACTGTCTTATCGAGAAAAAAAAAAATTATTTTCTCAGTTGAGAATACGACTGATTTTTTCAACACTAAGTTGATGTCTTGTCTTTCGAAAAACTTTTCCAAATTTTATTTTTTTTTTTTAAATGTGTATCCGAGATGTTGTCGCCGAAAATTTGACGAGCAAGTTTTTTTTTTTCTTTTTCCTCCGTATGAAAACGAATTTCGTCACTAAATAATGTGGCGAGCGAATTTTTTTTCTTTCACTGTATGAATCCGAATCCCTCGTACGCCAAGTTTGTTATGGCCGGTGAATTTTTTTCTCTTCCGTATGAGTTACGAATCCACGTCGTCAAGTGTTGTCATAGAGTGAGTGAAAAATTTTTTTTCCTCCGTATGAGAACGAATCCCTCGTCGCCAATGTGTTGTAGAGTAGTGGAGGCTTGTATTTCACTGAGCCGTTCCTAAAAAGGTTCGACGTAAAAAACGTTAGGAACTTGAAATAATAGTTAATGACGCAGCAATCCAGATGTGGTGGTTGATACTTTAATGTCCGACATCGACTGACTCACCAACTCACTGGGCTCCTACTACTACTACTACTACTACTACTTATAATAGGTGGGAGAGTCTATTAACAATAGAATAGGTGTGTTCCCGTATAACAATTTACAAGAGCCAGATTAGGTCGAAAATGGAGTACTGCTGCCATATATGGGCATGAACTGCTAAGTCTTCACTTTCCAGTCTCGATTGAGTCCAAAAGTGTTTCTGTCCTTGTGGGCGACGAATTATTTTCCACCCAACAACCCCTATCCCACAGACTAAATGTTGCAAGCCACTTGCTGTTCTACCGTTATTTCCAAGGAAAGTATTCAAACAAACTAAAGTCCTTAGTTCTGCCAGTTCTAACCATCACAGCTAAGATCCGCCATACCACGCACATCACCCTCATTCCCTTCGTATTCCGTTGGTGAGATTTCACTCTATCAGCTTCTACCCACGAACAGCTGCCTTGTGAAACCAACTCCCAAATGGATATTTCTCCGATCACTACAATCTTAACCTGTTCAAGTCTAGGGTCAATCGTTATCTTCTCCACATACTGTTGGAGTTTAATTTGAGAACAACAATTTCACAAGTTCACATTCTCGCTATTTTTTCTATCCTCACTTTAACCTCTTTTTAATTTCAAAATCGGCTCCCAAGGCCTTGATTCTTATCAGAGATAAGAATATATTTTCTGACTAAGGAGAGATCTGGAAAATAAAAAGGAATTCCACCACCATTATTCTTTCCATGGTGCCATAAAGTCTGGGTGAAACCTCACAGCTTCTTCACTTCAACCTGTTTTCAGTACCTTCGAAACCGGCTCCCAGGGTCCTGATTCTTATCAGAGATAAGAATGTGTTTTCTGACCAACAGAGGAGCCAGGAAATTTGTACAACGATTTTGGAGGGAAAAGTCCCCGATCCATCGGAGCCTACCAAAACTCCATAAATTTGGAGAATCTTGCCTATTTTGACAGTGAGATTTCTGCCCACTGTCTGTGAGGTCGACATTAGGGAGCTCCAGCACCGCTTTCACCAAAGAAGAACTACTAAAAAGGGCTGTCAAAAACGAACGTCGGTCCACTATTCAAGACCAATCCAAAGCTGCATCCCTTCACCACTCCTTCTGACGAGCCCAATGGACTTCTGTCGTCGACCAAAAAACTCACTCAGCTGCAGGATTCCTTCATCTGCGAACAAATTTCCATCTCTACAAGAACTGAAGTGTATCTATCTGAACCTTAGCAATAATATCTAATCACTTAAAGAACTCTTTAGGCGCTCAGAGAAATATTTTGAGCAAGCCTTTTTAAGTTAAGAACATTTTCTCTTTTCCCTTTCTTTCTCTACTAATCACCCTTTTATCCCTTTACCTTTTTTTATATATATATATATATATATTGTTAAATAAACACTTTCTTCTTTTGTTGTTACTCACCGAGCAGGAGTTTTTTCTTTATTCGTACGCGCCTAAAAGAGAAAGTTTGTCTGCTCTAATCTTGATGTTTTACTTGCGTTTTTTCGCAAATTTTTAAACCTCAACCCTATTTTTAAAAACAACACTTTCATGTGGGAAATCCGGGACCAATTTCCTAGCAATCTGCACATAAACAGTGCCTCTTACTCCGCAACCTTCTACATCGAGCGACTCTTGGGCCAGTTACAGGGTGAATAGCATTGAATAAAAAAACTTTTTGCTACAGCATAAAATACATCAATCTTAAAGAAATTGGTTTGAATGAATCAGAACATAAGTTTTTTTAGACACAGTTCAATTCCACCTACAAATTTGGAGTTCGTCTGTACGTAAGGATGAAATAGTTTTATATTTTGGTGCAATATGGATAAACTTTGTCTTTGTATATTGACAATACTTTTAATCTAGTTTCCGTAATGACCAAAGAGCACATTTATAAGCAATAAACATACATACTAAAGATTTTGGGGGTCAGAAATTGTGTAACCAACCAGTTTTCATCGTTTGTTAAGAGGTTTTGTAGCAAAAACATAATGTATGTCATTATAGAACTTACGAGAAACTATGAAACCAATACCTTTCGGCCCTCCCCTTATAGAATTCAGTTACCCGCTCTGTTTTCTACCCGATAACACCTTTCTAGTTCATCACTAGTTCCTGCTAACTTCAGCAGCCGTACGAGAACGGCACAACTCTTACCTTTGGCAACACTCACAGAAAAAAAAAAGAGTAATAATAGCACACACGAGTGGAGCAGTAAGAGGTAAAATAAGTAGTAATAGTAGTAGCAGTAGTAGGCCAGTGGTAACTGCCGTGTAAAACAGAAAGTCCGATTTAAGAAGTAACTATTTTATTCTGACGCAAGTTGTACAAACTTTGTGAGTATTTATGTTCGGCTTTCGGTCATCCAGAATGACTTCATTTTGGATCAGACTTTTTCTTTCTTTTAATTTCTCTTTCTCTCTCTCTCTATCGCACACACACTTTTTTTAGTTTTGTTTTACATTCCAAGAAATTCTAGAGAGAGAGGTTTGACGTTTTCTCTTTTTTATATGTTGCATTGAAAATAATAGCAATAAGAAGCTAGTGTATAAAAATGTGAAGAAAAGCTATTAATATTGCATTGATTGTGTTTTGGTTTATGAACCGTAAAAAAGTAAGACTTTATCATTCATAAATAACAAAAAATTAGATGAAAATAGCCGAACTAAAAGATAATTTATTAAAGGGAGCGAAGCGAGTACGTGAACATTGTGCAGCTGAGAAAGCTTTTCGACATTTAAATGGACAGATAGAAAGATATAGCGAAGTTGAATAGTGTTACTGTTAGTGTTATCATTTGAAATCTGGAAGCGAAATAGATCATTTATAAATAAAAGCATACGCTAGCATATAGCTTTGGACTTGGGGAATAATTACGGAGACCCAGTGTAGATTGAATTAAATAACATTAAGAAACAACCAAATCACGAAAGAAATGTGTTTACTTTATGACAATGAACACATTTTTTTAGTTGATAGATAGATTAGAATGGAAGAGGAAACAGAATTAGATAGGTAATATTCATATCAATGTAAAAATAGCAATTAAGAGTAGATGTAAAAAGACTGAAACCAATTAAATCTGATTTATTTTGATAATTTTACACTGATAAAATGATTTGCACGCGCTATTTTCATTTTCACAATGGAACTTGAAAAAAAACTTGGCAGTTAAGAAAGTTATCGATAACTAAACATATTGTGTGAATTGGTAGAAAATAAATGTTTCCTGTCTAGTTTTAATTAATAGAGACCGAAACTGCACGTTGTTGCTTGGAAATCGACACTTTAGATTCGTTAATAATGACTAGTGTTTTGTGGCAAAGGGCGGCCCTCAAGTCTGCCGCCCTTCCCCAGAAGGACTACAATATTACAGTGCGCATTACCCCTTAAAGTTTATATATATATATATATATATATATATATATATATATATATATATATACGACGAAATTATTCGTAAAACATCAATTTTTAATATATTTCTTAGAATCTACTGCCCGTATGATGCCAGTTTTTTCCATGTTTCTGTTAACGTGGTATTTAACACCTGAATTATGAAATAAAAGTACATTTGTATTTATTTTTTTTAAAATAAAACTGGGGATGTGTAAAAAAAAAAAAATAAGTCGAAAACGTTACTTCATTTTTTTCTAAATCGGGAAAACTTTAAAAACATTTAAATTTTTGCGTGAAAAATGTATGTATGTATGTATGTATGCATGTATATATATGTATGCATGTATGTATATATATGCATGTATATGTATGTATGTATATATATGTATGTATATATAAGAATATATGTATATATATATATGTATTTATGTATATATATATTTATGTATATATATGTATATCAATATATATTTATATATGTATATATATATGTATGTATACATATGTATATATATATGTACATATATATGTACATATATATGTAAATATACGTATTTATATATGTATGTATACATATGTATGTATATATATGTATGTATATATGTATGTGCATATATATATATGTATATATGTATGTGCATATATATATATATGTATGTATGTATGTGCATATATATATGTATGTATATGTATATAAATGTAGTTGTATATATATATGTATATATATGTATGTATATATATGTATATATATATATATATGTATATATATATATGTATGTATATATATGTATGTATATATATGTATATATATGCATGTATATATATGTATATGAATACATGTATATATATATATATATATATATATATATATCTCTCTATATATATATATATGTATCTATATATATTTATATATATGTATGTATATATATATGTATGTATATGTATTTACGTATATATGGAAGTATATATATATGTATGTATATATATATATATATATATATATAGATGTGTATATATATATGTATATATATATATATATATATATATATATATATATATATATATATATATATATATATATATATATGTATGTGTACATATATATATATGTATGTATTTATGAATAAAAATGACAATAGTAAATTGGTAATTGCTGACGCGTTTCGTCCAATGTGGACTTTATCAAAGCAAAATACGAAAATGAAATTAAATGAACAAAGTAACTAATAAAAACAAAAACAGAATGTACCTAGCAACTGGAATGTAGAGAAACGCTATTTTCATATTTTTAACTGAAAAATAACGTCAGTGATTGTCACGTGTGGAGAATATTGTCATTATATCTGTGTTGATGTATTTAACCATTTTCTTTTGATTTTATGAATCTGTTGTGCATATTTGTTTGTAAGAGCATTAATTTTGTTAAGAAAGTTGAAATAGGGAAAAAGCCTGGGCGTAGATTAATATTTGGGTAATTTTCTATGGCGGCACTCTCCAGAATTTTCCTTCTGAGTGAGTTATTTTCTTTTTTTTATGAGTGTAGCATTTTTAAAATTTCAAAAGTTTACATACCTACACATACACACAAACAAGCTCACATATGATAGGTGTCAACACACACATATACACACATATAGACACATACACACACACACACACACACACATATATATATAAATGCTATTGAAAATGAGTTATTGGTTTTTTGAACGCGCCAAAGCAGCGCTGAGTTTGATTTTAAATTTTTTAAAGTGTTTGCGTTTATACCAAATATGGTGATGAACAAATTATTTTACTGGTAAATTTTACTGTCAAAGTGGCATGAACTATATTGTTCAATAATTACAGTAATGTCGCACTTATTATCCAAAAGTCGCACATGGATCAGTTATTTAAATTACAAAGTGCAAACATTTTAAAAAATTTAAAATCAATAGCATTTCGGATACAATACACATATATTTTCGATGTCCTCTTATTACTAAGAGAAAAAAACAAGAACAACATCTATTATATACCTGAAGATGTCTGTAGGAACAGACGAAAGCTTGTAGTAAAAATAACAATTAATACGGCAGAAATTTATATAAACAAGGATCAATTCATTCATAACGGATCTGGAGGTTTTTGTGTACTATTTGAATTGTTTGCGAGATGGATGTCTCGCCATTTAAATCATTAACCTTTGCATTAGTTTTGTGTGAATAATTCATGTATTTGTAAATTGATTGCACGTTTATTATATATATATATATATATATATATATATATATATATATATATATATATATATGTCCATTATATATTGAATATATATATATATATATATATATATATATATATATATATGTGTCCAGTTATATATTAAATATTTATATATATATATATATATATATATATATATATATATATATATATATATATTTAATATATAACTGACATATATATATATATATTTAATATATAACTGGACATATATATATATATATTTAATATATAACTGGACATATATATATATATATATATATATTCAATATATAACTATATATATATATATATATATATATATATATATATATATATATATATATATACAATATTATATATATATATATATATATATGTATTATATATATATATATATATTATATATATATTATATATATATTATATATAAATATATATATATATATATACATATTCAATATATAACTGGACACATATATATATATATATATATACACCAATATTTTTAACCTATATATATATATATATATATATATATATATATATATAAAAAAGAAGGAGATACCACAAACGTGTATATACCTTTAATGTATATACACGTAATGTACATTTTTTTTTAAAAATATTATCCATTATTTTCCATAATTTTACTACACGTGTTTCTGGTTTCGCGACCGTCTTCAGGTAAAAGGCGGAGATTTCCACATATTAAAAATAATTATTTTTTTTTCTCCTTCATGTTTTTCGATATTAAATATTTTCGATATGAGACATTCTCTTTTTTTGTGTTAGTAATCCGAATGTCTTTCTTGAACTTGCAGTGAAGAGTTCTTCGCGAAGAGTCACAAAACAATTAAGATTGGTCAGAGAGAAATGTTGAATTAGTTATCGGTATCTTATCTTTTTTATTTGTTTTACTGATCCCTGTGTGTTCTTAGATCTATTTCCATTTTCGTGTGTTTCTGTCAGTATGCGTGTATATATGTGTATATTCCCTCTCCATACATACACACTGTCTCCCTACAAAGAATTAGTAAACACATTTGTACACATACACACACACACGCACCGTCCCACAACAAGGAATCAGTGCTTACACACATACGTACACACACATACTTCCCAAGTTATATGGAACCAGTATACACACACGCACACACACATATATACGTACATACATACACACGTACTTCCAAATTTGTGTGGGGTTTGTGTGCGTGCCCGTGAGTAGTTCCTTGCTTTTGTCAACATATATATATATATATATATATATATATATATATTCGTGCTCCACAGATACCCGCATGTGATTGGCGTGCGTGCATGTATGTGAGTGGTTTGATCACTGTATTTGGTCATCATACGTGCATGTTGTATGCTTTTGCGTGTGGGGTTAGGATCTATTTAGTTCTGGTTTAAATTTATTTATGAAGTTTTTTGTTTGTATTTGTAGGTAAGAATAATTGTCCGTTTGATATATTGGCATAATATTAAATTTACCCTGGTTACATTTGAATATGTGTTGTGATACAAAAAGTTTTCTGTTGTCTGGTAATTTTATGTTTCTTTTGTGCAGGGAGACCCTGTTGTTCAGTTGTTGGCTGATATCTATATATGACTTCTTGCATTTTGTGCATTTAAGTACATAAATTACATTTTTGGAGTTGCAGTTTAAGTTTTTATTTATTAT